CTGAACATTATATATATTTACTGGGTCCGATGAGGCACAGACCTGGGCGTTGCTGAGCGTCTACGGGGGTACTGAGCGCTGAGCGATTAGGAAGAAACACTCACTAATGAGTGTTGAGCGATGAAACACCAAATTACCTTCTATTGCAAGTAAATAATAATAATAATAATATGTTCCACAGCGAGGAACTTTGGATATAAATGTGCCATTAACTTCCACCTGACACAGCTTATAAATAAAAATAAGTCTTAGTTGACTTCATTGACTGCGGGAGATGGCAGGAGAGAAGTAAGATATCACTCTATGGTGTGTACGTGAAGTTATGGTGTACGTGATTTTATGACGTGATATCGTATGTGTGACATTATCGTGCACATAGGAATATTCACAGCACTTTAACGTTTAAGTAAATATGTTCTTCATTAATGCTGTACCAAGAAGAAATATACAGGCAGTTGTGATTACTGAATCACTATTTTGCTCATTTAAGCTACGACGCCATGATGAATAGGCGAGGTTGAATATTTTGAAGCAGTGAAAGGTCAGGCGTTGCTCATAAATGTTAACCTCTGTGACATATATGTTAATTTACAAACCACATTCACTCTGCCACCCTCCCTAGTTACCACCAAAAATATATAACTTCAGCAACGTTTCTTTCCTCCTACATAAATGAATAGGATAATCCATATTAATGTGAATTTTGAACTTCATAATATAATCTATCTTGACCAGACCACACACTAGAAGGTGAAGGGACGACGATGTTTCGGTCCGTCCTGGACCATTCTCAAGTCGATTGTGACTTGAGAATGACTTGAGAATGGTCCAGGACGGACCGAAACGTCGTCGTCCCTTCACCTTCTAGTGTGTGGTCTGGTCAACTTACTTTAGCCACGTTATTGTGACTCATCGCCTGCATAATCTATCTTCCTGTTAATTGTGGATTTTATAGAACAATCCATCTTCCTATTAATTTTGGATTTTTTAAAGTAATCCAACTTGCTGTGAATTTTTAAACTTTCAGAATAATCCATCTGCATTTGAATTTTGAACGTAATAGAATTCTCAGTTTTCCAGTATTTTGAACAGACTAAGGCAAGTGGATCATAATAAGTACACAAAAACAGCAACACAAAAATACAGCACGATACAATTTATTATATAATTTGGTGTGTTTAAGTTGGGACAAAATACGAGTGAAATAATTATTTTGAAATAGGATTGTTTATTAATGTAATAGAAGTGAAATCGCTGGATTGTTACACGCATTTGTTAGATATATATTTGAGCTGCATCGCATAGGACAATAGGCCTTTTGCAGTAAACATTATTTCAGAGCCTATGTAAGACCTATATTCCACAATACCGTGGGTTACACAATCTCATTCACGTGGTTCATCTATGATTCGACCCGGGGATTGGACACATATGAAACCTTCACACTAACAACCAGTGCTGAAATCTGACAATGAGGTATATAGATCTCAATAAAATGTATTAATTTTTATAATTATTTATAGAAATAAGAAAACCAGCACGACTGTATATAAATAAGATTTAGATAGTATATGAGTTGTTACCATCTATATAACAGCTAAACAACAGCTGTATAACAGCTGAATTGTGAAAAACAGCTGAACGTGTTTTTCATAATTTTATAAACCCATTTGTAAAAAACAAAACAAAAAAAAACTAAATATAATTTAAATATTTAATCCATGAACCTGGGGAATATTATCACTACGCATAACTTGGGTATCATAGTTAGTATCAATTTACATGAATGAAGGTTAATGAATGCAGACTGGAGAAAATTAGATGCAGAATAGACCTTAGTAAATATTGGACTGCCAATAACGTTGGGGGATTTTTGGTACAAATTACCAGTGAAGCTAATAGGCGTAAAGTTTAAATCTTTAGTTTGACAGATATATATATACATAATATGATATATATTATGTATAAATATATAAATATATATATATATATATATAAATATATATATATATATATATATATATATATATATATATATATATATATATATATATATATATATATATATATATATATATATATATATATATATATGTCGTACCTAGTAGCCAGAACGCACTTCTGAGCCTACTATGCAAGGCCCAATTTGCCTAATAAGCCAAGTTTTCATGAATTAATTGTTTTTCGACTACCTAACCTACCTAACCTAACCTAACCTAACTTTTTCGGCCACCTAACCTAACCTAACCTATAAAGATAGGTTAGGTTAGGTTAGGTAGGGTTGGTTAGGTTCGGTCATATATCTACGTCAATTTTAACTCCAATAAAAAAAAGTTGACCTCATACATAATGAAATGGGTAGCTTTATCATTTCATAAGAAAAAAATTAGAGAAAATATATTAATTCAGGAAAACTAGGCTTATTAGGCAAATCGGGCCTTGGAAAGTAGGCATAGAAGTGCGTTCTGGCTACTAGGTACGACATATATATATATATATATATATATATATATATATATATATATATATATATATATATATATATATATATATATATATATATATATATATATATATATATATATATATATATATATATATATATGACAATTTCAGACCACGAAGGAAAAATGAAACAGGAAATTTCCTTAAGTACTTTCGTATATTAAATACACCTTCTGAAGATGTATTTAATATACGAAAGTACTTAAGGAAATTTCCTGTTTCATTTTTCCTTCGTGGTCTGACATTGTCACATTCTTAATCACGTGTTTATTTTCGTGATATACACACATATATATATATATATATATATATATATATATATATATATATATATATATATATATATATATATATATATATATGTATGCATAATATATTATATACGTTAATTATAATATACCACAAGTTAATTTCTTCGTATTTTATACACCAACACATACACACACACACACACACACACACACACACACACACACACACACACACACACACACACACACACACACACACACACACACACACACACACACACACACACACACACACACACACATACACACACACTCACACATACACACACACATGTTTATCTATATTAAGCTCAAGAGATGTTCATGAAGTATTGACAAATAGTAACACAAAGGGACAACAACACACACATATGTTTCAGTATATGTTGACATATTCACTAGAGATACCATGTGGCTATAAATATTACACTTGTTATCATTACTTCTCATCATTTTGCTCTGATATTTTTTCGCTGAAATGATTCAGAGTTGATACAGGCCCTTAGTCAACACTAGTTACCTTGTGATCCTCACAGGTGGACCATGACTCGATTCGACTTGGGTATTCCTGGGTATTCAATCTAGTATAAGTGAAAATATTTATGTATGGCGTATGCCGAGGATGGATAATGAAACATAAAATTACTTTAACGCTTTCGCGTATATTTCAGCATCTCTTCAAAAGTATTGATAGGCAGTATATATATATATATATATATATATATATATATATATATATATATATATATATATATATATATATATATATATATATATATATATATAGGGATGTATTTGACATGTATTGGAGAGTTACACATGAGGTGGAAATCAATGTTTTTATTTATGAGGTTTCATGAATATTAAACACAACACAGACCTTGTGTTGGACAATATAACTCATATCGAGCTATGTTTAGGTCCCAATGTTTAAGTCCTTACTTTGTTAGGTCCCAATGTTTAAGTCCTTACTTTGTTAGGTCCCAATGGGAGTAGTTCCGTAATATTCCTCTTAATAAAATATTTTTTTTAATCACTGATAAATGAATCGAAGAATATAACCCATTACTGATATTCAGTTTAAATATTTAAATATGATTAAAGTAGATTCAGTAATTTTTTTTTTTCAGTATAAATTTCAGTATATTCAGTAATATTTATATATTCTTTCAGTTAGTGATCGCATAATAACCATCCCAATCACTTTGGTATGAATTTTCAGATTAAAACAATAAACAGATAATTAAATATTTGGTCATTTCTTCTATAATATTTATATTAAAAAAAATATTAGTTTTTTTTTTAGTTTGACCTACGAAATATCTATCACATTCTCTACATATAAATTTATATGTAGCAAATTTATCACTACGAAGGTTTTCTAGAGGTTTTCTCACAACTTAACACAACATGTAAACACATAATGTAAAAGTTTTAATGATTTTTTCAAACCCAGGAGAAAATGGTACACATGACATATTTTAGAGCAATTCTTTCACTGCCAATTTTGTTATAATATGTATGTCGTGCTTTCCAAAGGAAAACCTCCAGGAAATTATATGGGTATCAAAGGTAGAATCCCAAGGAATCAATATGCAGCAACTCAGTTTCCCAAAACTCAGGACATACAATGTGAAGGAGTGTGTATACGATAAATTTGTTTGAAGGATTTCTAGATATGCTATACTTAGGAGGAAAATCTGACCTGTGAATTAAGATTAAAAAACAGTGTTTATTTTTGGTTTCTTCCGTCGTGCAGTTCATAGTCCTTAAGCCCAATACTAAGCCAAACAAATTTAACATTGCTGTATGACTGATTTCGTTAGTAAGTTTATTGAACATTACTTCAAGCCATCATGACCAAAGGAGTCTGTGTACACATGATTTACAAATGAGAAAAGTGGGCAAACTCATATGTAAAAAATTAATGAAAATGTGAGAAATTTTCGCAGAAATTGCGACAAGTAATTGGAATTGCTAATACCAATTTAGTTAATATTGATAATATCGTCAATGTCGTCTTTACAATGGTCAAAGATCGACTTAGAATTGTTAATAACGATTTAGCAACCCATCCTCAAGCTGCTTTTATCCAACCTGGGTAATTTTTGGTGAAGTTAGTGCTAGGTTAGGTTAGTTGTTCTGGGGATGTTAGTAGTTATTTATATTCGCAGTATGAGGGGGAAGAGCAATTTACACATTAGAAGAAAACAAAAACTGCCAAATTTATTATACTCAATGTACAAATTCAGTCAGTACTATATAGTGCTATATAAATAGAAGAGCTGCTATTGAATATCATTGTGTAAAGAAACAGGAGGGCTACAAGTGACTATAAATATGCAAAGAAATAGGAGAACTACGTTGTATAAGCCTTTTTGGAATAGCCACTAAAGAGAGAGTGTCCATGTCCCACTATCATGGCTAAAAGAATGTGTAAAGGCTGACGCCGGTTGTAGTTGGTGAAGTATTGTTCAGGAATATGGCTTTATGCTTCTTAGCTGTAGATACGGCGCAAGACCCGCGGAATCTCCCTTTTTTCTTAGCTGAAAATACATAAGTGTTTATTTACAACGACTCAAGCGTGTGGTACTGAATTCCAACACAAGTAAACAGGGGTTTGTACAAGATTACATAAATACATATTTTATACATCAATGCAATCAGTAAAAAAAAAACTTAACAAACACACACACACACACACACACACACACACACACACACACACACACACACACACACACACACACACACACACACACACACACACACCACACACACTAAAAGAGAGAATGTACGTTTGTCTGTATAAGTTTGTGTCTCTGTCTATCTGTCTATTCAAAGTTGGAGGGTCAGATGTTTCGGGCTAGCCTTAGCCAATTTTTGTAAGGGGAATGGTCTGCAGTACGGGACACAGATAGGTGGGTCAGGGTATGCCCAAGTTAAGTGATTTAGGAAATATTAGTAATTATTCACCCCCCCCCCTATCCGATACTCATACATTCAACTATGGGCAACTGTGAAATATTGATTGGGAGGCCAAAGGGTTTTTCATTATAATACATTATTTTCGTGAAACCATCGAGCAGTTTCATTGCTCTCTAACATTATAAATAAATAAATAATAAATAAATGTTTATTTAGGTAAGGTACATACATAAAGAGATTTTACAAAGTTTGTTGGGTTAGGTTAGGTTATATTATATTTGATGTAAGGGAAAAAGGGCTGAGTAAAGGGGGGGAGGGGTGAGGATGGGCGAGAGGAGGGGGATGGGGAACCCGGGCACCACCGGTTACCCTTCCAAGTCGATACCTACAAGAGATAATGTCTATTTGTCAGTCTGTCCATATGGTCTGCCTGTTCAAAGCTGGAGGCCAAACGCTTGCGGTTAGCCCCATTCAAATAGACAGAAGGAATCGTCTGTGGTATGGGATCAACATAGGTTAGTAGGAGTCACCAAAAAAAAAAAAAAAATAGCGCTCCAGGGGTCACATTCAAACCACTACGAAGAATTTTGAGACTCCACTGGCAACACTGGAGAATGTTTTGAAAACAAACATGCTTAAGATAAAGTTTTTCTTGTAGTAATATACTCCCTTATTCACTGATCTCATAAAAATTAGCAGGTGTTTCCTGCTATCCATACTTTGCCCATAGTTCCATGAAACAAACGATCCATCGACAGCCTAAAGGTTTTCCAAGCCCCGATCCTTAAAGCTAAGTCTATAACGGGCTCACCATAGCCCGTGCTGCTTGGAACTTTTTGTTCCAAGTAGCTAAATCTGAAACAGTAACAACAACAACCCAACACCTTTCTCAACATAAATGGAGATATATTTTATTTTTGAATATTTCAAAATGCTTTATATTATATTATATTTTGGGGTTAATAAATATTTTTCTTTTAATTATTTTTTTTTATCAGAGATTGAGACAGACAGAGATTGAGAGATACAGACCCAGACAGACAGACGGACAGACAGACAGAGAAAGAAAGAGACAGGTGAACAAATTGATAGATTGAGAGACACTGACAGAAGGATGAACAGACGGATAGATAAAGTGACAGAGATGGTTAGATAGATGGATAGATTGACGAGTAGATGGAGAATAGATAAATGAAAACGTGGATAGAAAATTGCATGTATAGGTGGGAAGGATGAATAGATGGATAGATAGATGGATGGATGGAGAAGTGGATAACTTGTTGGTTGAATAGACAGATGAATAGATACAAAGATTGGAGTATAGATGCAGATTGATGTATAGATAGATAGACGGATGGATAAATAGATGAACAGAGGAATAGATAGAGAGAAAGATGAATAGATAGATGGCTGAGTAGATGGATAGATAGAAAGATGAATAGATAGATGGATGAGTAGCTAGATAGATAGTATAAAAATGGATAGTAGATTCTAGTAGGAGATTATCTAGATAGTAGGTTATCTGGTAGATAGATGGATAAATAGCTGGACAGATAGACAGGCACGATAGATAGGCACGCCATCTTACCAGGAACACAGCACCAGCAATGCCTATCGTTGTTGCACCCACAGCGATAGGCGGCGTAGTACCTCGGACAGTAACGACCGGCCTTAATACAGAACCCTCCTGCATCAATGCAACTAGCATCAGGTATGCAGGTCCTGCAACAAACGCAGCTAGCCACCTTGCAGCGCGATTTGCAAATGTAAGATGCACCTTTGTTGCAGCTGCGCGCGTTGCCAATGCACCGTCCGGGATTGGGACCTCGCTGGCACCTGGATGAGGTTCGACACATCTTGCAACATCTGCAAAGGAAAATTTTGTAACGGTTAACCCGTATTGCTTCATGTTATGTTATCATATAATAGACGAAGGATAACAGAGCTTACTTGCACTTGCTGCTATGGCAAGATTTGCCAACTTTCTGATACTCGCGATCACTGCAAGTCTTCTTGCATCTCCCATGCACCTTTCTGCACCCGGAGTTCTTATTGTTAGTCTTGCAATCTGAAACAGTGGAATTAAAATTCATCAAAAGGCTAAGCTAGGCAAGCTAATTCACATGTGTGTAACACTGATTGTATGAATCTCACTTTTCAATGGTTTTCGGTAACTCTTATTTAGTAAGAAAAGTGTGTACCGAGTGTGTGTGGTGGATATCTACGGTTCTGTTGTGTATATTGTCATTTTGTTAATTTTCTTTGCGAGTGTAAAAGTTATTTGGCAGTTATTAACTATCCATTATTAAGTTTCTTTTATTAAATTTAAATTATAATTTTTTTGAATGATTTAGCTTTAGTGTATATACCTAGTTACAAAAAACTCATTTTCATTATTGATTTGTCTCTCATACATGTTTATACCTTACTGTAATGACCTCTAACTCATCGCTAAAAAAAAGGTTTAATGTGGACAATTTAAGAACCTTCGCTGAAGGCACGCGTAACAGTTTTCCAGAATGTTGCATTGACATCCACTTGAGTGTATTAGAGCATCTCGCAGAGGTGAGTGATTGACTTTTTGCGTCAATTCAATATATTCCGTCAGTTCATTTTTGCGTCAATGAAAAGCCAAGTCATTTTTGCGACAGTAAATTGCAATCAACATTTAGTAACGCATTGTGGCCTCCATTGTATAGAATACCAACAAATGCCAGAAAACATTACATATTAGTAGTGTAATATGTCCTTACTGACTGAATATCCGCGATTCTTGCACTGACACAATACCTGCAGTATTCGCACTGCTTTACACAACACCTGATTCCTCGTACTTACCGACGTAATACCAGCATTTTTCGTACTTACTGAGACAACATCTGCATGAATTGTATTTACTGTCAAACTGTTTCTCGTACTCACCAACGCAACACCTACAATGACGCTTGCAGGCGTGCATGATATCGAAATCACAGTGCGATAGGGTGTTGTTCTCAGGATGGCACACTCCTCCGTACATAGTGTTGCATTTACTGTTGCTTCTGAAAGATAAACCACCAGAGAAGAGATTTAGAAGTTAAGCGCACACTCCTTAGGAGGTTAGATTACGTCTGGTTAGGTTAGGTTATCTTGAGGTTATCTTGAGATGATTTCGGGGCTTTAGTGTCCCCGCGGCCCGGTCCTCGACCAGGCCTCCACCCCCAGGAAGCAGCCCGTGATAGCTGACTAACACCCAGATACCTATTTTACTGCTAGGTAACAGGGGCATAGGGTGAAAGAAACTTTGCCCATTGTTTCTCGCCGGCGCCTGGGATCGAACCCAGGACCACAGGATCACAAGTCCAGTGTGCTGTCCGCTCGGCCGACCGGCTCCCTAGGTTAGGTTAAATTAGGTTAGGTTAGGATAGGTTTGGTTAAGTTAGGTTAGGTTAGGTTAGGTTAAATTAGGTTAAGTTAGGTTAGGTTAGGGTAGGTTAGGTTAGGTTAAATTAGGTTAAGTTAGGTTAGGTTAGGGTAGGTTAGGTTAGGTTAGGGGGTTAAGGAAAGATTGACAGGAGAAGTCGTGAGATAAGTGCTTTACCATAAAGTCCAAGGGGAAGATCACTATGTCAACAACAAATAAGACAAAAATGGTGATTTGCAACATATACGGGATAGCCTGTGCATATTGAATTATGTAATTGATTATGAGTATTTTAAAAATATACGAAATTTAATGATTACATGATCCAAATACATATTTAATTCCATAATTCTTTCAGTAAAAGAAAGAATACAAAATAAAAAAAATATTTTAACTGATTATAGGCCTTTCTGATTATTATAGATGGATTAATTTGAATAATGGAGCTTAACGAGTGTATGCATCAAAGCTAAGGAAGACATTTATTATTCAAAACATAATATGAATGATTTTCTCTCAACTGTGAGTTACTATAATAAATGGATTCACTGTTACTCTAATGTTCATTCAATTACTTTTTTCTATTTTATTTCGTCTATGAAATTATTATTATTATTAAAAAAAATAGAAAATATGAATATACTGTTGAGTTTGATAAAATTATAGTCCCCCTTCTAACATCCAATTACTCTCGCCATTAGCCCAAGCGTTTACCCTGTAATATATATATGTATATATGTAATGACTTACGCTCTATCACAACATCCTCCAATACAGACGGTGACCTGATTACCAGTTTGCTCCAGCAGTTCATGACGAGATTGATCTGCGATCTCCGGATCTCCCACCTACAGGAAAGTTCCCCAATTATTTATTATCTGCTTAGACACATTACAATAATTTAGAACCGTGAAATAGCTGTGAAATTTTTAAATAGCTGCGGATGGTGATTTTTTTTTAATACTCTAAACTTTAATCGGAATCAGCTGTAAAGTTTGCCTTAATACTGAAATTAATATTCCAATTCGTCAACAAATCTACGAAGCATTCATTGGTGATTGATGATTGATTGATGAAGATTAAGCCACCCAAAAGGTGGCACGGGCATGAATAGCCCGTAAGTGGTGGCCCTTTTGAGCCATCACCAGTATCAATAGATGATACTGGAGATCTGTGGAGGTGCAACTGCACCCTGCGTGACGGGAGATGTCTCCCGTCTTTATTGGTGAGAAGTGAGATTTGATAAAATAAAAAAATACAGATTATAATTCATTTATGTAAAGTATGTATGTAATGAAAAAAAGGACCAATCACCTGTGAGCTTTACTGATGTTAAATAAAATAATCCAACAAACAGCATTATCGACTTGAGAATGGTCCAGGACGGACCGAAACGTCGTCGTCCCTTCAACTTCTAGTGTGTGGTCTGGTCAACAACAAACAGCCTTTTACTCACCTTAAAAAGTTTGATTTTGAAGGTAAATAATCAGATAACAAAAAACCCAATGTGAATAAAACAATCACAGGGAACCAATTTGGAAATTGACCAACAGGAGTAATGTCCCGGCAGACGTTTCCCAACGTGAATGATCTAACATTGATTAAACAGTTAAATCATTCACGATCAACGTGAATGATTTAACATTGATTAAACAGTTAAATCATTCACGATCAACGCGAATGATTTAATATGCCACATTCCATAGCACAGTCACTAATTAGATAGGAGTCTTGAGTTAGTGCACTAACAAGCATTTTAAAATTTCAATGCAAAATTTTATTTTAAAACTGAATAAATCATTTAGAAACGTTTTTCGTAGCTTGATAAATGAAAATGTATGTAGCTACACAAATTGGATAAATACAACAAAATCATATATAGGGACTACCTTCTTGAGCAACTAGCACAAATCGCTTAAGAATTGCATTGCACCGCTGGATGAGATACCAGAGGGCTAACAGGCCGTGATATAACGTTAACCGTATTGCACATGGAGCAATACTATTGTACCATGATATCTTTGATATATGCACCCATGATACCTCGTATATGATTTCTAGTCTATAATCTGGAGCCGGATCACCAGACATAAATGAAGTGCAGAAAATGTACAGAAGTAATAACATTGTACCACGGGAGCAGTAAAAGAGGAGTAATAATGTAATATTTAGATTTTTTATAAATAACTAGACGAGGTACTTGGCACTACTCACTATTACAAATTTACTGAGTCTGCTACTAAGCCAAATGAAAAGATTTATACAGACGAATGAGCTTTATAATTCTTATTAACATGGGTTTAAAACAAGATGTTGTGTTTGCAATCGAGGAAGCATTAAAAAAAAATGAGGTCAGTGAGACTGAGGAATGTGTTTCCCGTTGGGATCCGAAAGTATATAATACATTTGTCTATCTGATAGAATACACTATGGGTGCTCTCTGTTTGATAGAATACACTATGGTGCTGCAGGCAATGAGTCACAATAACGTGGCTAAAGTATGTTGACCAGACCACACTAGAAAGTGAAGGGACGAAAGCGTTTCAGTCCGTCCTGGACCATTCTCAAGTCGAAACGTCGTCGTCCCTTCACTTTCTAGTGTGTGATCTAATCAACCACTATGTTGCTCTTTGTCTGATAGAATACACTATGATGCTGAATGAATATATTATGCTACAGAATGCAGACTGTATGGTACTCACAGCTTGGCAGCTTCCCAGCAAACATAGAAGGAGAAACATCGCACACAGCATGATTACTGTTGCTCAGACAGTCTCCCTGTGGCCTGCTGTTGGTCTCCAGATAGTCTGCTGTCAGTGTTTCTCGTTGGTCTGCTGGCTTCAACTGGCGTCTTGTCCCCTTAAGCTTGCTCTCTGAGACCGTCGGGGCCATCACTTATTTCTCAGCAACTGATGCCAGATGGTTCTTTCTGTAAAACTATTTTTATTAACGATTTTGAATTAGCTAGGGATTACAAAAATTATATTAAATCCTTAATTTTGATTTAGTTTTTGCATTGTATACTGAAATATTTTAATTGTAAAAACGTATGCTCACTGGCAAATGATATGAAGAGATCTGGTAAGTTTTCTTGAATAAACGATTGTAGACGCTCACAGGTGTTTTAAACACCTGAGGAGAAGATGTGTGCATACGTGCATAATCTGAATAAATGCATTTCACAAATTCAAACGTTCAATTATACATACAAGTTCAAGAATTATTCACATTTCAAGACAGCAAAAGACTTATTCACCGATAAATAAAGTTGAACAAGGAACCTGAATCATACAAGAACACAGCCAACATGTGTTTATATTAAAGACCTACATCCTACGAGACCTAACTTGGATAATTGAACAACCCAGCATAACACAACAACACAGCAGACACAGCATACACAACACCTCACAGCATACACAACACAGCCCAACATACACACATACACAGCATTCACATCTCAACATACTTCTCACAATATGATAATGGTGCAGGAAAGACCGACACGTCTTCACTATATTTTCTGATTTGTGTGTTGGGCGTCTAAATGTTCAACCACGTTACTGTGACTTACGTTCTATACAGAAAGTAAGTCACACCCAGAACAGTGCAGAATGTAAGAACGTTCTGCATGTTCTAACGCAATTTTGACCCTCAATTTAACTGCTCTGATATGTATCAATTGCTTTTGTGAACTGTTTTGTGTTGATATTTTTAATGCTGTTTCATGAATCCATTCATTTTATCGTTTTCGAGTAAATCCTGAAAATCCCATCCCATTCTCCTGTTTTGGGTACTTGTAGTGATGATGAGGACCATAGTATATATACCGACGTATAACACCATTAGAAAGTAGAAATCCGTACTATTGAATTTGGGCAAACCAGAAAATATTTTCTATTTATGTTGCAAACACAAACTAAACTATCCTACCCTAACCTTCCTAGGCCTAAAACACGATATCTGAGGCCTAATATAGTAAATATGTATGCTATATTAGGTATAGGACTGTTTATGTCCGCTTTTAGTCTCATTTTTTCGGGCTCAATGAAGTGAACAGTACAAAATTCTACTATCTAATTGCTTAGTACGTCAATCTTTGTGCTATGAAATTAAGAGGTAAAAGGCAAGAGTAGCTTCAAAATTCTCTGGAAAACCCATATTCGAATTCATGAGACATTTTATACAACACACCTTCTTCTTTTTAATTGGACCAATAGAACCGATCCGAACCTGCATATGTCCGTTACATACCCGAGACTGTTCACCCTGCAATGTTGAATGAGGCTAACCCTCTCCCATCTGACCTCCAACCTTGGAAAGACAGACAAAAAAGATAAGCAAAGAAAAATACATTCACTCTTATAGACATAAATTGATTCGATCTTTGGAGAAATCATTAAGTGCATTATATATATATATATATATATATATATATATATATATATATATATATATATATATATATATATATATATATATATATATATATATATATATATATATATATTCATTTATTTATTTATGAGGGTGAATAATTGGTGTGCCCGTCTTTGAATATATATTTTTAAGAAACTTCGATAATTAAATAATTTTCTGGTAAAATATGATACAATTACATGTAAGTAATATTGTAATACTAATGTATATGTGTTCTTTACATCAGTATACAGCCTTGAGACCGACGACCGGCACGTGACCGAATTTTGTCGTCGTGGGTCGTTGCTGTAAGTCGTCCTCTTAAGTCGTCTGGTGGAACTAATCATGGAGAAAAAAAAATAAAAATCAGGCGATTCGCATGTTTTACAAGAGTTTGGAATTCATGCTTGCTTGACTTAATCATGAAGACACACATATATATATATATATATATATATATAGAAATTTATGTAGCAAATATAATACCAATCTTTACCTCCACGTTATTTGTCAAATAATTAATTTGTCCAATGATACCGGCTTACTGTAAATATGTTCATCTCTTTCCCCTCAAATAACTGATATTTTCTAACCAGTTATCTGTCTGTATTAGTCTGTTCAGATGTCTCTCCTTTCATTTTTTAGCTGGGAAGTCATCTTTCCAGCTGTCTGTAATTATAACACAAAGCTGCTTGAAAATTTCATTCAAGCTTGTTCGTATTTGCTTTACTCAAGCGGCCCGTTATCTGGACAGACGAACCAGATAAGCATACACTTAGAAATTATTTCCACTATATTATTTAATATGTAGTTTGGCAATTTTTTTTAACCATGTTAATTTCAGATGTGAATTTTATTTTATCGATGATATTTAGTCAGGTATTAAGTTATTAATTTATGTTATTATTAAGCTAATCAGGTAAGTTAATACTTAACACATTTAGTTAATGGTAATTTCTTATTACAGACATAAAAAATATACAAAATCTTAATGCTTCTTGTTTAATTGAAATATTTATAAAAGGCAAGCATATAATAGTTAAACATTGTTCTGTCTCTGTCTGTCTCTGTCTGTCTCCGTCTCTGTCTGTCTGTCTGTCTGTCTCTCTCTCTCTCTCTCTCTCTCTCTCTCTCTCTCTCTCTCTCTCTCTCTCTCTCTCTCTCTCTCTCTCTCTCTCTCTCTCTCTCTCTCTCTCTCTCTCTCTCTCTCTCTCTCTCTCTCTCTCTCTCTCTCTCTCTCTCTCTCTCTATCTCTATCTATCTTTCGCTCACTCACTTTTTATCTTTCGCTCCAACCACTTGGGCTGGACGGTAGAGCGACGGTCTCGTTTCATGCAGGTCGGCGTTCAATTCCCGACCGTCCAAGTGGTTGGGCATCATTCCATCATTCCCAGTCTCATCCCAAATCCTTATCCTGACTCCCCCCTTCCAAGTGCTATATAGTCGTAATGGCTTTGTGCTATACACTGATAATTCCCTCCCTTTTCCTCTCTTGTTGAAACAGATAGGATATCGTGTGGAAAACGTATAAATTTTGCCTTCTGTAACCAAAGGTCTGAAGACAGGTGTGAACCAGGTATCAAGTACTTAATCAGTAGATAAATTTATGAATAACTCGCAATAAATTTCAATACTTTAAAATCTTATATAAAACTAAATAAATTTACAAGAAGGAAGACGTTGCAGATCATCTAAGATCTTATATTTAAACACCTCACTATTAAAATGAAGCTTACTTATTTACATGAAAATCTGATTAAAATTGACTAATATATATATATATATATATATATATATATATATATATATATATATATATATATATATATATATATATATATATATATATATATATATATATATATAAAAGGTGACACGTAAGAAAAAAGAATGTAAATAGCGTGAAAAAAGCACACTATTTACTATAAGCACACTATTTCACGAAAGTGAAATTTCGGTGTAATTTGCAAATGACTGAACTGTAGATGTGTGAAAAGACTATTATGAATCTTGGAGTTGTTTCTTAAGAGGAAATGTTGTGTGAAATGGTCCCTGGAGTGAAGTGAATACTAGCAGATATGCAGGTAACTGTTCCGAACAACAGAAAAGCCATATTTTCAACAGCCCATCCTCCAATCATCATAGTACTTTAGCATCTATTTGATAAAAACATGCACCAATATAAATGTTTGACCCCCCACAGAAAAAGTTCACCTTTTGTACTGATGAATTGATGAAAATACAAATACAAATGAATACAAATACAATTGAATACAAATGAAAAAGGAACTGAAGCACTTAATCTAACATAACCCAACGCCTCCAAGGAGTAACTTAGGCCTCCTTGGCCTAGTATATACGTTTTTCTAGGTGTAATATTGTACGTATATATGCTGTACTACGCCAAGATCGCGAAAACTTCGTCTTGCGGAACTTTGAAAATGACAATAACATTGAGAAGTTCCCTTCATATAATTTATTTTATTTACCTTTATCTATAAAATCCTCACAGTGTTTGATATGAGATTTAGAGAATTTTCTCCAAAGGGCGACAATAATTTCCTTAATCATCTGCACAATTTATACGAGATGTCGCAAATGGAATTAAACATGACTTAGGAAAATAATACGTGTTAGGTAATCCATGTAAAGATGACAAAGAAATATTTATAAATTATTATTTTTCTGAGAATTCATTATCTATTTTTTTAGTTATTAATTTTTCTAAATAGTTTATTGAATCCAATAACAGATTCGATCGTTCGGCCTCGTTTGGTAATCCATTTACGAACGAGACATTTCTTAGGCCCCTGTATTCAACTGAGTTGTTGAGTCGTTAGAGAAGTCAAACTCCACCCATTGCAAGTTTAAATGGTGCGCTGGAACACTTCCCAACACCATATATTTCTCGGTAATACCCTTTGCCCTAAATATGAACTCCCTGGCTTCTTCTGCTCTCCCGCAGCTAACATCTGCCTGGATGGTTAAGTGTTTGTGAGTGTTTGTTAAGTGTTTGTGAGTGCTGGTTAAGTGTTCACGTTAAGTACAGTGTCACAGATAACCATATTAAACTGACAGATGTCAATGAGGTATGGTTAGATGAGGTTATTATGAGGGAACATTGCTGCTTCAGTATAACTATATAGCCCATGAAAGGGACATATGCTAAGTTTCAACAATAATATTCAAGGTCCAGACAATATATCTCATTTGGTTACTAAAGCATTATCAATTACCTGGATTAATTTCCATTATGGATTAAAAATTTGCTAGTCATTTCTCTAATTAAATTTTTCCTCTATGCTTTGTTTCACAGAACTGTGTTGAAAGGATTATTTTGTTGTAGTCGAGAGAGAAAAATTTGCCTGAAAATTGGGTAACCTTAATATCACACATCCTATTACCCCGCAGTCATTTTCTTCTC